ATATAATGTCTTATTACGTCAAAACGTCTCAAAGAAGTTGACAGGATTTTACTGTAAAGTGCAGTGACTGTATATCTGTAGGCGAATGGTCTTAGTCTAAAGAATGATAGGCTTGTGTAACAAACTACCAGGAAAGGTGGTGATAGTAAAAGGGTGACAAATTACAATATCAATACAAAGGAACTATAAATAACAATAATCCTTGTGCTTTGTCTCTTCATTGAGACAATTCAAAGTGCTTCACTGAAACTGCTTGAAACTGTTAATATGTTATGGTTGCAGCATATAAACAGACTTTTCAAAGCCTCAGTGTGAAACCCATGTTGAATCAATTAAAATTTGTTAAGTACCACTTATCAATAACCTGGTTGTGGCAAGTAGCTGTTGTGAGTTGAACAGCGTCATGGGCAGCCCCAGATGATGTATTGGACACAGCTGTAATTTACAGACCTGAGCTTCCTGGTTCAAATCCTGGGCTGTGTTGAGTTTGCTGGTGTCAGCAGAGGAAGCTAAATGGGTCCCTGCCTTCCCAGGTTAAGAAGGAGGAAACTAGCTCGGGTCCTGGTCCTTCTTCCACAGCATCCTCTACTAGTTGTGTGTATTGGGAACACAAATTTTAAAACATAAAGGCCTTCCTGTTACTACAGCAAACTGAAACCTGGGTTTTCTTTCCATCGCTTTGCTTTTACTCTTATCATTGAATCTGCACAGTTCAAATCTGATTTACCTGCCCACTCAAGCATGCGCGCTGCTTTTATTTGCTACAAAGTATCTGATCAAGAAAAGTGTCAAGGCATACATTCAACTTTACGAATGAACTCCATTCACTTTGGAGAGATTAAAAGTGACAGGAGGAAGGAGAACTAGAATTTTATTTTGTCAGCTGGGTGTCTGACACATTCAGAAACCCATCAATATGCTCAAGGGATGCTTAAGACCATGCTGCAAGATCCATGCATCCCATCTGCACCTGGAAATTCCTGTGTAATGTAATGGAATGCACACTTTCTTCCTTGAGGGACGCAGGTTGGCAAGAGCTAAAGCTTCGGATCCCTAGAGTCTGCATTGGTTTATCTGCTGGAGACTAACCAGCTGTTTTGTTTTTGCCAGGCAGGTGTCTGACACATCTGAAAACCTATCACCATGCTTAACAGTATCCGAAGCAAACTGAAAGTTCCATGCATTCCACCAACACATGGAAATTCCATCTCTTTTCCCAGATAAAATGATAGCTTGCTATTGAAAGCACTATCTGGCAAGTTTTACCACAGCTCATCCAACTAAGACCACCGAATCTGTTAAGGCTTTGGCTTACAGGGTCAACAGAAGCCAGGTGAGAAGAATCTATGCCCCCAGTCATTGGTCTACCCTTCCAATTTCAATGAGCCAGGCTGGCTGAGCAGTCATCAGCAGTGTCCTGCAATACTGTGGACCCGTCTGGCTCAGGAAGCGGACTATGGCGACCGCCACAGATGTCTGGCTCGATTCTGACATTCCATTAAAAATGTCACCTTAGAGACAGTTCAGCTCCAAGGAAACCTCACTTACCACCCCCCATCCCCCCAAAACAATGATAAGTCACTAATTGGTCATCCAGGGCTAATAATCCCTTAAAATAAAATTATTATTATAACTTGGTCACTCAATCCACAAGCATGGTGATAGGAATATACAGTCAATTCACTTTACAGTATACTCTGTGAAGCTCTTTGAGGCATCTCAAAGAAGTGATAAGACACTATATCAAATGCAAGGATTATTATTATTTTACATCTGACAAGCATGGTTTTGAGGCCTCACTAGATGGAGTACCAGGAGCAGCAGGCAATATAGATCAGCATGACGTTCTTCCATGCTAACAACTAAATAGACGATTGACTATTCTGACTCACTTTAACCACTAATGAAAGTCCCCAGTTATACGTCACAGTGTGCTACAGTGCCCACTGTGATTCCAGTTTTACAAGAGTAGACGCTATAATTGCATGACCACAGTTTCTATTTCAGGAGTCGAGTGTTCCACTTGTTACACAGATACAAGAGCTAATTGACAAGAAGAAGTGTTTTCATAGCTCTTCAGCAAATACACTCTCTCCTCAAACCCAAAGTTGCAGTTAAACTGTGCCATATTCAGTCCACTTTCTAATTTGAAAAAAGTTGTTATTCTAAAATCTTAGATCTTCAAAGTAAAACTGTCCTGTCCAAACCACCCCCCGCCCCCCACCACCAGGTGCAAGTGCAAGTTCTCGCCTGGAAAATACACAGTCAATTCACTTTACAGTAAATTCTGTGAAGCATTTGAGATGTTTCAACAACATGATAAGGCGCTATATCAATGCAAGGATTATTATTCATCTAGAAAGCTAATGCATATCAATAACTTATGGATTAATTACAGTTTTAGAAGACAACATGGGGTGGGGGGGTGGGGGGGGAAGAATTTCAGTCGGATTGAGACTTACACTGTTTACACTATCTTTTCACAAAGTGAAGAATTTGACAAATCCAGTCTCAATTGTGAAGTTGATTATTATAAGAAATGTAATGTTAATTTCCAAATTCTGCCTACTCTGAAATTCTAAAAAAAAATTAAGTATAGACCTAGGTGGAATTTATCTCCAATGTTTTTGTTTTGTGCATAAATCGTTGATCATATTTGGTGTTTGCTCCCTTAGTGGAGCTATTTATTCCACTTCCATCCTGTCTCCCTGCTACTTCTCCATATCTGTTATTATGTTTATTCTAGTACATATCTAATTCCATTTTAAATGCTGACTACACTTATTTGTGGTAAATTTTATATCCCAACGACCCTCTGTGTAAAAAATATTCTTCCATCCTGACCCTATATCTTCCGACAATAATCCTCAACTGTTTATAATTATTCTAAATTGTTATGTTGCTGACTATAAACCACCAACTTGAGAAATATCCCTTTATCTTTACTATTCCCATTCCTTTCCTTTAGCTCTTTCCCCATCCATGCTGCCAAATTCACTTTAATAATTCATGTATTAACTTTTATTTGGTACCTTAAAACAGATTCTGTGCACACAACATACGCACAGCATCTAGATCACAATCTATTATTTTCTGCATATTGTGAAATGCTATCAATAAAATGGATCAGCATTCAGAGGCACGTAAATCAAGAAATTGCCGGTGAGGACCTTTTGGGCCTTTATCTTCATTCCATACTTCATATTCTCACTGTGCTAAAAAAAAATCTGCAGTACAGAAACACTGCCGTCCTTCAAATGTATGCTGGTGCTATATAGAGCCAAATATTCTTAATTCCAATTTCCTGCACCTGTTTATACTCTTCCTCTTCAAATGTTTATCCAGTACCCTCTCAAGCATTTATTGCCTTAGCCTCAGCAGCCAATTTAGCAAAGCATTCATGTTCTATGAATCTCTGCATGAAAAAGCTTATTCTAAACTTTCTCTCAACTTGACCAGTAACAACCCTGATTTACCAATCAGCAGGAAAAATCTTTCACGATCGAAATTTTCAAAACCTTTCAGAATTTTGAAGACTTCCATTGAATCCCCACTTAACCTTCACTGAAAAACAGAGCCAAGTTTTCAAACCTAGCTCATTCCTGATATCATCAAAATAAACTTATGTTTAACCCTTTCATTGGCTCTAATCTCTATTCTGTGATGGAATGCCCAGAACTGCACACGGGACTCCAACTGGGCTAACCAAAGCCTTGTATGAACTTAACATACCTGAATTTAACCTTTAAGTTCCTTCACAGTATTACCCTACCTTCCATCTATGACCTCCTTCAACCCTACCAACTCGACAGCTACCTTTGTTCAGCAAACACTGGCCTGCTTCATGTCCCTTGCTCTATCATGTCCCTCAGGCAGGCTGTCAGCAGTTCTGCTCCGCTCTCTGGAATTCTAGCCCGGAGTCCCTCCAAATCACTCACTTCCAACCCGCTTTCAAGGCACGTTTCAAAAAGTATCTCTGAACATTTTTTGGTCATCATTCCCTCTCCACCCTCCTTGGCTCACACCCCAGCTCGGATGCCCATTCTAACACACTGAGTTGACCTCCCAACCTGAAAGGCCCTACATAAATATAAATTGTATTAACATATCCTTGTTTTTGTACACAGTGTAACTAATAGTAATACAAATAGAGACCCTACATACAATAAAACCCAGAATTGCTGATTTAATACCGATAGGCATGATAATGCTGATGTAAATAGGCTATTTACCTTGGTTTGCAGAAAACAACAACCAAACTTGCAAAGCTCATGCTTACAAAAAAATCCCCTCTCAAAACATTGGTGAGATAAACAAAAAGTAATTAATGTTGTTGATGTAAGTTGGATAAATATTTGTTTAAGGAATGCTGCTTGGTGAACAGCAGGAACTAATAATAAATGAGTTTGCTGACTATAGAACACAACTCTACAAGGTTAGATTGATATCTTGAAGTGTTGCTTCATCATCTTAGCGATAGAGTGACAAATTTCAGAGTTTCACCTGGTTTGTCGACTCTCTCAAAGACTAAGAGTGTTGGACAGAGTTCACAACAGTCCTAACAGTATTTGATTTGTGGAGGGAATAGGCACAATGGACCTTTTTTTCTTATTTCCATATTCTCAGTAAAATACCAGAAAAAGCCTTGTGATCCATTTGGCGGTGGTCCCAATATTCAACAAATATCAAACAATACTCTCTCTCACTGATAACCATCCATCACTTTGTACACCAAAATTCTATCCAGTTTACCTCCTAAATTGTCTTTATCTTTTAAGCAAAATTCTACAGTTCATATTATTTGAATTCCATTGTATGCAATTATACATGTATACATGAAAGTGTTAATTTTACAAGCTCCAAACTTCTGTCAATGCTCAGAGAGGTTGAGCAGTTTTTGTGAAAGGAAAAAAGCACTGCACTCATACAGGGCATTGTACGCTTCACTTTGCATGCTGCTTTTTAAGTCATGCCACTAAAAAAGATTTAGATTTTCCTACCGTAGCTTCATTACAAACAGTGCATTTAACAACATGCTGATGGAGCTTGCCCTCCAAATTGATCAGAGACTGGCACACACGGCAGTTTATTACTGGTACTCCTCCCACATCAGAGCTGGCCACTGGACTGTAAGGAGGTGGGAGCTCTCCTGGATAAAGACAAAAAGCAAAAAGACCACAAAACTTGTAAGTATTCACATAAACAAGGTCACTACTTTGAAATCCAAGAATGCAAAATGGAAGTTTGTTTTTCCACTGTTGCCAGGCCTACACTTTCACCCACTTGAATGTAATATGCCTGCAATTTTGTCATATCTGCAAATTTCGCTGAAGCTTTTGAAAAGTCTATATTACCATTTCAGCCTTTGAATCAGAATGTTATTTGTTATTTGTTCAAGCCCCACATTGGGACTTAAGCTTGCAGACTAGGATGACATTCCAGTGCTATCCTTTGGATGTGGTGATAAAATGAAGTCCTACCTTCCTCTTCTTCAGATGGACAGTTTTACAATACAATTTACATAGCACTTTTCTTGTTGGAAGGACATCTCAAAGTACTTGCTGGGCATCTAAGCTGGGGAAAGTGGGGGCTGTGGAATGTGACTGAAAACATGGTCAAAGAGGTAAGTCTCAAAGCAAGTTTTAAACATAGGGAGAGAGCAGGTGAATTGGAGGAATTCTTACATGGAGTTCCAGACAGTGAAAGCAGAATGGTTGAAAGCCACTTCAACTGGTTGAAGCTCTCTGAGAGACAACCCAGCATGAAGGGCGCTACTTAAATTCAATTGTTGTTGTTAAATGTCAACAGTTAAATGCTAACGTTCTCTTTGGTGTCCCCAAGCCTCAACTCTTTCCAATCTGTGTCTATATTGTCTAGAATTAGATAAATAGAGTGCTTCCTTCTGGATAAATAAAGAGTGCATATTCTGTTCCAGAAAAACAGAATCTTCGCAAACTGTGGAACTTTCAGCAGCTTAATTTGGAGACTGTCAAACAGGTTTCTACAGGCATCAGCTACCCAACCCGGCTACAAAAAACATCAATGCTGTTCTGAAGTGTCAGCCTGGACGGATAGCTCAAATCCCAGTGCAAAACTTGAGCCAACACAGAGGTGTTGTCCACTAAGCGAAACTGGTAGAGTAAATGTTTACAATTGTATAGTACACAATGACAGGGAAGTTAAAACTTTACTTTAGTCGTTGAAAACAACAATAGCTGGCTAGGTTGTGCAATGATGCTCTGCAAGCCAAGAGCTAAGCCCTCTGTGGTACAAGGTAGACTCCAAAGCTGCTTAGAAATAAAATACTATTTCAAACAAAAAAAATCGTTCAGGAATTCAGCCACTGTAATCGGATTGCAGTCTAATTGAATAGGTTAATTTGTGAATAGCAATAAATTAAATTGGGTTTCATAGAAGCTTTCAGTGATTCAAAATCTACTTGTATGCCTGTCATAAGTGATTTTTCTGCATAGGCTAAATCGTATTTAAAATTGAGAGGACTTGAGTTGTAGCACCACTGCACTTTTCTCAAGAAAATACAAAAAGAGCAGATCAAATAACTCCTCCTATTCAAAACCAACTGGAGCACAAGAGAGCACAAGCTTTACACCTCAGGCAGAATGACCTTGTCATGCGCACTCATTCACACATACACATGCTTCAGTGCAAGTAACAGGGCTGATACATCTTCAAAATACAATACTGTATCTTTTCTCTCATTTTTCCCAAAACATTGTTTTTTAGCCTAAGAAATCTCCTTTATTCATGTGAAAGGGAAAAGACCATTTTCAATAAGAAACGTTTTTTTAGAAACAAAAATGGTGCACTGACTCTTGCTGCAATGTGGCTCCACAGAAACAAACTACCCTTACCCAACTGATCTTTCTTTCGGTGATAAGACTGCAAGTTATAGCAGCCTCTGCACCACTGGGGGATGGGCATCATCTCCAATTCTGTCCACTCACACAAGTGTAGTTTGATCAAGTGCAATTATCCTGTGCAGAAATCCTCATGATTAATTGGCTATTCAACTAAATCGTGGCTGTTTTGTGGGAGCTGGCTAGTGCAAATAACTGCTGCATTTTCCTACAAAAAGTCACTATAGTCATTTCAACATGATAAAGTGTTAGAGAAATGTAAACTGCTAAAGACTAAGACCAGATCAAAGGCAATAACACAACCCCCACCCCCTCAGCTCCCAACCCAGATCGAGTGCCCATCCAGCTCTGTGAAGCATTTTGGGACATCCTCCTGATGTGAAGTCGAATTTAATTACGACAACAACAATACCTGTCACATAGGCTAACTTTTCAGAGTGTTCTACAAAGACTGGATTGGAAGGCTTTCAAGGGACGGATGGGGCAGTGACCATGGGTCTATTATTAAGGATAATATTTCATGTTATTGTCTTCTACAATACAGGGGAGCCTCATTACAACATTTCCCTCTGGGTCGAATAGTTCGGTGATCGCATCATGAGCGAAGTGCTAAATTATGGCTAACTTCTGAATTGCCAAGTCACTGCTGATGCCACTTCCATGGAACTGCACATGTGTGTTATATTTAAAAGGTGCAGCAGGAATCACCCCCTCCACAAACAAGTCGCAGTGACCTTTCCAACCACAGAACAGATGATTGCAGGAAGTGACACCAGAGGCAACCTGACGACACAGACATTAGCCTTTTTTTACGCAGGAAGCAGCCGAATCAGCACAAGTAGCTTTGAATTAGCTCACAGGAGACCATGAACAACAGGATGCGACCATAAACGACAGGATGCTAATGGCGGTGGGAGTGTGGGTGTGTTCATTGTACTGTAGTGATACTGAAGACTTTGATATCTGTAAACATCAAACAGTTGGTAGTACCTTCAACTTTAGGTCAAAAGGTTATAGGTTCAAGTCCAACGTGGGAACTTTAAACTCATAGCCTGGGCAGAGATTTTGATTGCAGTCGTAAAGGAGCCCTGAATTGCTGGAGATGCCATCCTATTGATGAGATGTTAAACCGAGGTCCCTGTATGCTAAAAATCCCACAAGAATATTTAAAGAGAGAATGGAGACAATAATATAACACGATACAAAATTACATTTGTATAGCGCCTTTCATGTCGGAAGGATGCCCAAGTCCCAAATAATGACCCAAGTCAAGGGCATTATAAAAATGCAAGTTTGTTCACTCTTCCCTGTCCTCCCGATGTGAAAGGCGCTATACAAATGTAATCTTGTTGTTGAAATACAATAATATGTAATAGTAATTATGTTGTCTTCTTGGCTAGATGTGCTCATATATTGAACTGCAAAGATTCAAATATTGAAAAACTGAAATAAAACAGAAATCTTAGAAATTTGCAACAGATCAATTATCATCTGAAAAAAGTTAATATTTTTGGAATAACTCTTCAGCAGAGCAGATATCTTGAAGGGCCCGGCCCAAAATGTTAACCTATATCACTTATGCCAACATACTGCCTTGCCCTTCTTCATTTAAGATGTTCTGATCAAAAAAAGTTTCAAAAGATTGAAAGTTAAAAGGATTGAAAGGTAATAATAACAATCCTTGCATTTGATCTAGCGCTTTTCCCATCTTCTAGACATCTCAAAGTGCTTCACAGAATACAACAACAACAACAACAACAAGATTCCATTTATAAAGCGCCTTTCACGTCAGGAGGACGTCCCAAGGCGCTGCACAGTTGGGTCATGACCCGAGCAGGGGGGAAATGGTCAGGGGGAGGGAAGGGAGGGAGCGAGGAGGGGGGAAATGGTCAGGGTAAGGGGAGGGAAGGGAGGGAGCGAGGAGGGGGAAGAGAGTCGAGAGGGGAGCTGAAGGCTCGGTCAAAGAGAAAAGAATATAATGGAAAGTGAATTGACTGTATATTTGTGGGTGAAACGCGGCAGTCAATTGCACACAGCAGTGTCCCACAAACAGTAGTGGATTAAGTGACCAAATTATTATGTTTTTGAAAGGATTATTATCCCCGGAAAAACAATACGCCAATCAACTAACAACTGGGTTCCTACTTACTGCGAGGTAAACTGAGGCGTATGGAGTAAGGAAACTTGCCCAACATTTCGCCCTGCCGGGAACAGAAACCAGGTCTCTCGCTTGCGAGGCAAGTGCTCTAACCACTGAGCTTCAGGACTCCACAATGGAAGAAAAGGAGCGGATGAGGCAGTGAAGAAAATAAAGTGTGGGCGTGTGCTAATTCACTCACATTAAAAACTTGAATTTTTTTATACATCAATACTTAAGCTATCGATTCCTATCCCTGTTCAATTATAATTGGTTACATTACTACAGAAGAAAGCAAATTTCCGAACACAATTCAGAATAACTTCCAGCGATCACAGGATACTATAATTGCTAATAATTACAGTATAATCCTTCAGTGATGTCACAAAGGATTCTAATACTCACGTAAATCACATGAAAAGGACGCAGAGAATGTAAGATCCTCAACAGCTCAGTTGATGTGTGCAGTTTTTAAATGCACATATAATAATAATAATCCTTGCCTTTGATATAGCGCTTTTCACGTCGGGGGGACGTCCCAAAGCGCTTCACAGAATATACTGTAAAGTGAATTGACTGTATATTTGTGAGCGAACCCAGCAGCCAATTGCGCACAGCAATGTCCCACAAACAGTCATGGATTGAAAATGACCAATTTATTATTGTTTTGTTTTTTTGGAGGGATTATTATTAGGCTCTGTGTGGAGTAAGGAAACTTGCCCAAGGTTTCGCCCTCTGCCTGGAATTGAACTCAGGTCTCTCACTGGCAAAGCGAGTCAAGAACTACCAGGGAGATATTTTGACAAATTTCAGAAATGTTTTAAGTATATACATAAACACACAACAATTTACACTTATATAGTGCCCTCCACTCAGGGTAGCGTCTCAGAATTCTTAACAGTGGCGGTGCATATATGTATGTATAAGGTGAGGTGTCAGCCTGGCTCAGTAGCCTCGCCTGTCAGGAGGTTGCGGGTTCAAATCCCACATCTGGTCATTGAGTTCATAGTCTAGGCTGACACTGTAATGGGGTGCTGCATTGTCAGAGTGCTACCTTTTGGACAAGACGTTAAACCGAAGTTCTGACTGCCTGTTCAGGTGAATGTTAAAAATGACTGCCGCAGTTCACAAATA